TCATGTGACTAGCCTGTGACTGTGCTATGGTGCTAGAACTAGAAGGCACACCAAGTTGGGCTTTGAAGCAGCATTACTAGTGTTATTGCTCTAAAGCTCACTTGGAGTGATCAATTTGCATAGGCTTTTGATCCATAGAACCTCCATCTAAGGAGCAATCAATTTACAATAGGTTAGAGGGTGGGTAAGTGGGCTGCTTCTTCACAAAGATCGATCGATCCAAGAAAAGAACAAAAGTGAGGAATCGGGGCTGCAGCAGAGGTGCATGCGCCCTTTTCGCGCGAAGCTTCACTACGTCTACCTGTATCTCGGGCACACGTTTCGTCCATACAGGTAGACTGTGAGATCTTCACACGATAAGTTCTTGAATCGATATCTTGTGGGCTACTCGAGAGCTACTTTCAGTGACCTACAACATCAGCTCATGTGGACTAGCCTGTGACTGTGCCTATGGTGCTAGAGCTAGAAGGCACACCAAGTTGGGCTTTGAAGCAAGCATTACTAGTGTTATTGCTCTAAAGCTCACTTGGAGTGGATCAATTTGCATAGGCTTTTGATCCATGCTGATGTTGTAGGTCACTGAAAGTAGCTCTCGAGTAGCCCACAAGATATCGATTCAAGAACTTATCGTGTGAAGATCTCACAGTCTACCTGTATGGACGAAACGTGTGCCCGAGATACAGGTAGTCGATCTCGGATGCCTGGCAACTTCGACTCGAAACTGACGTCAGTTCTAGCGGTACCGGTACCGGTACCGTTTGCTCATTTTTTAGAAGGCCTCTCGCCTCTCACCACAGCAAACACGTCCAAGCTCGACGCAAGTCTCCACGCTTTGACACTCCGATACTGGTATACCGTTTGACCGGTGTACTTATATACATCTGGGAATTGGAATATTGAGTTTTGTTGGTATTGACTAATTCTTAAACACTATCCACGGTGAAACCGTACTGGTACTGTTTCTGGGAACCAAACGGATTGAATCATCATTCAGCATTCAGCAGCGCTTGCAACCTGCTGACTCGTCCGCCACTGACAAGCCGATGTCGGCCATATTGCTGCTGTTCGGCTCTTTACACAAAAGCAATTGTGAGCACGACTGCACCCACCGAAGCTAGAATCTGAAGGGACATGGACGAGGCGGTCCCGCTTTTGTCGCTATTACGGCCTTGTCCTGGATTGCTCCCCTGAGGTGTGGGTGCCTGTGTCGTTTCTGGGGCATTGGTTGGGCCCTTGGTCGGGGTCGGGGCCACAGGAGAGATGACATCGACAGCAGGCGAGGGCTTCTTCGATGGGACAGCACTCGGCGACCCAGAAGGATAAATTGCAGGAAACATAGAGGGAGCACTGCTTGGCATTGCAGTTGGACCAAAGGAGGGCTCAGCAGAGACGCTTGGTGAGCTCGAAGGATCAAACGACGGTGACCCAGATGGCGTCGCGGACGGGGAAACAGATGGATCACTGCTTGGCTTGCTTGAGCTGGTCGGATTCGAGGACGGTGCAGAGGAAGGAGAAGATGAGGGAGCATTGCTTGGTGCTTTCGACATTGTTGGAAGCGCACTGGGACCAGAGCTGGGAACCAAACTCGGGATCGCGCTTGGAGGAGAGCTGGGCGTGGCACTTGGCGTGGTGAGACCACAAGAATTGGCTGAAAATTCTCCACACATATTTTCTCCATCGTCCAGAATCCCGTTGCAGCCAACCTGCATGGTGTTGTCTCCGTAGTTGTTGACGTTTCGGAGGATCGTAGCACCGCCTCGTAGAAATACTAGGGAAATTCCCTCATTGTCCACGAAACAGCAATTGGTGATGTTGGCACTTCCATTCTCACCGTAGGCATAAACAACTCCGCCAAGCGAATTCGTGTCGCCCGTTGCTACGTTGCTTTCGAATACGCAGCTATCAAACGATGCGGTGCCACCGTGGACATCAATCGCTCCTTCAAAGGCCGTGTTGCCCCTGAAAACGCAGTCTTCGAATCGAACGTGTCCACCATTGTACACCACAGCAGCCGCTGCCAGAGCAAGGTCTCCCGACGAGTTGTCTTCGAAGAGGCATTGCTCAAAGACTGTGTCGGGTGGTGTAGCCGGTCCTGGCATGTCTGTCTCGACGCTAACAGCACACGAAGAAGCGCCTCGAAATGTGAGTCCTCGAAGCATCGCGTAGCGGCCAACAATGTCGAACTGGCGGTCGCCGCCTTGAATGACACAACTGTCTTCTACAAGTCCATGGTCACCACACTGAAGGGTCACCAATCCTTGTCCATCAATGGTGATGGCTCCACCTGTCGCGTCCAAGACGGCGCCGGGACAAATGACAACCGTCTTGAGAATGGGCATTGCGTCGTCGTCGGTGACAACGAACGCCTGGTTGAGATCGCTCCACGAGTCGACGCAATCGCTCGGAGGAGGAGTTGTTGTGGCGTTGGAGGATCCCAACAACAACAAGAGCAGAGCTCCAATGGAGAGCAAACGAAGAGTGGAGTTGACAATCGTCTTGGAGCACAACATGGTTTGATGCAAACTGTCGTCGAAACGGAACCCGAAGCAGAAAAGCAAGACGGATGAGGAACTGCAACAACCAAACAAAGCACGAGAGAGGGCAAGAAAAGCTCACATACTAGTACTGTCAAATGAAGGAAGAGAAGAATAAATCAAGAAGGAGACAAAGGCTCGAAAACAAAGCTGTGCAAACGGTTGCCAGTGTCGGATGAGTGAAAATAATAATGAGGTCAAAAACTCGACGACGACGAGACCAAACGAACAACGGAACTGTCGCAATCCCGAACACCCGTGACGCTTCACTAGTGACGCGACTCAGATTCCGAAACAACTTTAGAAGCACGTGGCATAGTTTTCTTTGTCGAAGAGCAGCGTATTTTATTTAAGCGCCAATGTACCACTGTCTTGGACGTTTCGATCTTGGCGAACGAAGAACGAAGCTTTGCTCGAGAAAAACGGCTTGGAGCCCATATTTCAGCACCTCAGCAATCTCATTTTATTCAGCAACCGAAAGTTTCGAACAAATTGACCATTGAGCTCATTCAACCTCTCATCCAAACCACCAGCTCTCCTTTGCATAGTACTCATCATCATGATTAGGCACAGCCACAATGGCGTGGTCCTTCAGGTGGATCAATCGCTCTTCCCAAAACGCACAAAGCGAGCCTCAGCTCCTCCCAAAATGCCTATGACCATCGCCATTCCATCCGGAAGACCCCACGCAATGGCAAACCACTGGCATCCTCCTCAGGAGATTATCATTGAAGAGCCACACAGTGATGAAGCTGTGCACAAGAAGCATAAGAAGAAGAAACCTCCCAAGACGATTCAAGTCAAGGATGATTTCAGGCCGCCTTCAGTTGTGGTTGTCGTCGACAAACTGGAAAAGAAGGATAATCGCATTCCCCCAGTCATCAAGGTACAACAAGAGCTGTTAGATAAGACCGACAACCCACATGGTTTCCCTGGCTTGGGAACCAGCGACGCCATAGATGAAAGCGAGACGACAGAGGAAGTTCCGGCTCTCGCGGATGAACTCACAATGATCCAAAAGTCATCCTCAGAGAGAACAACTCTGGCAGCCCAAATTGTTGCAGCCCACAACAATCAGCCCCGAATTTCGTCTCCCGATCCTCCCGCTGCAAAGGCCGAGACGACCAGTCACAAGATCCTCCCGGATTTTTCCGCCATGGCCAAGCAACGACGACAATCCGAATCATCGTCTCGCCGGCGTCGAAGGAACATTCTCGATGTCAGCGATGGCAATCATAGCTACACAGAGGGACCCTTGGCTCACATGTACATGCGCAATCATGAATCCTGGCCAGCTCCAGCAACCCACAACAACAGTCGTCAGCTTCGTCGTAGCAGCAGTACTCGAACTCCGCACTGGATTGGGGTGACGGGAACGGCCGATGATTGGATTCGAGCCACCAAACCGGATGACATTCTGGAAGTCGGACGTAAGATTGCTCGACACAGATTGGAGATTTAAATGATTAGAACTAGACAAAGCTAAATCACAGAGGCGGAAGTAGTCGACGCGGTTGCCTGGTACGACATTAGAACAACCGACCGGGTAGCAACAAAAACAAACTAATTGGACTCTTGTCTTGGGTAAGGCACAAGTGGAGAAGAATGCGTTGGGAGCTAGCTAGGAAGGTTTCCTGGGTGAAAGGCTAAGGTAGATCGATTAATGGTCGAAGTTCATTAAAGCTAGATAATTTTATTCATATCTTTAGAAGTTACTTCGTATGAGTTCTACTAGTCGGAAGTTGCCGCTGGCTTTAAGGGAACCAAAGTAGTCGGCTATCATCTGCCAGGGTTCAGAACTGAACCTTCAGGTTCCTCACTACCGGTATCAAGTCGAGCAGCAAGCCAGCTACGCTCTACGGAAAGCAAACCCAGCACACACACACACACACACAGAAACTTGTTCTGAAATGCTGAAGCATCATAGATTATTTTCCTTTATTAAATTCCTATTGGGATCGCTTCGTTGCTCTCTTTTGATACAATATGCATTCATACATGGCACGCACAGTAGCTTTTACCCACACAGCACAACAAGGCGAGGCGCCCATCAAAAGCCTCACTGCTTCATTGTTTCCAAACATACAAATAGGTACTTGCGATTTCGAACCCCCAACTGGCTACGGTAGCTAGCAAAAGGAGCCCCACAGGGCTGATCAGAACCACTGAATTCAAACCTAGTCTGGGAGCATCCTTTCCAATTCAAAATAGTAGCGTTTTGTTCCGTAGAATCCATCCGTCATTCATTCCTCAACCTCATGACTGACTCGTGCACTAGTGTCAATGTTGTTGGCAGCGTCAATGTTGTTGTGTTCGTGATCTCCATTTTCTTCTGACTGAATGACAGAATCAAGACCCCACCCTTTGTGGATCTCGCAAAGGTCATCCTCTCTGATACTCTGCTCTTCGGTGTCACTACTACTAGAGTCCCCTCCTTCCGAAGCTTCCTTTTGTAGTGGTTCCTCCGCTACGAAAGCGGTTTTCGAATCCAACACTTCCTCTTTTTCTTCTACTGGTACTTTTGTGTTGGGATCTGCGTGCATTGTATCTTCCTTTTGAGCCTCAGTTTCTGCTTTGCTGTCTTCTTTGAGTTCTGCTACTTCTTTCTCCTCCTCCTCCAAAGAGGAAACAACACTCTCCTGAACAATCTCATTGCTCTCCTGAACAATCTCGTTGAGGTTGTTGTTTTCTTTGAGTTCTGCCAATTCGTCTTCTTCTTTTTCCTCCTCCTTCAAAGAGTAAACAACACTATCCTGAACAATCTCATTGAGCTTGTTGTCTTCTTTGAGTTCTGCTACTTCTTCTTCATCTTCCTCCTGCTCCAAAGAGGAAACAAAACTCTCCTGAACAATCTTATTGAGGTTTAGATGTGAAACAGCAGACTCCATAATGTGTGATTCTAGAACCTGCTTGAATCGAAGGCTCAATCCATCCAGAGATAAATCCAGAGAAAAATCCAGTGGGGAGCTTAATGCCAAGTGTTGCGATGCATAAATGGCAAGAAAGACTGCTGCAAGTAACGCAACAAGGCTGATTCCCATCCATCTTGAACCAATTTCCTCTGGAGCTTGCTTGTCGGATGATTGTTGGCATTCGTCTTCCTCGAATGATACACTGCGATCTTGTTTTTCAATAGGCTCGTCAATATTATCAGGCGCAGGGACAGATCTGTCGATTGTTTCGGGGTAAGAAGCCGCCTCCTCATATTCTTCGCTACCACTGCTGGCACTGGCAATGGATGTCTGGGACTGATTGCAATCTTCTCCATTCTCGTCAGGCTTTGACTCGTCAACACCGGTAGCTTGGGGAGGAATCGTTTCTACCAAGCAGCCATTTCTGTCGTCATCGTCGTCATCATCGTGAAATCCCTCGGCAGCACAGCGACGACCGCCTTGACAAACATTCAGTCCTCCCATCAATTTGCGAAGGCTGGCTTCGATTCGATTTCCACCCTTGAATTGGAGTTCAAAAGGTGGCGTTTCTTTCGCCGCTTTGGTATCCATCTTCCTTGCTGCTTTCCCCCTCTAATAAACTATCTTGACCTCTCTCAAGCTTCACGAACATTGGCAGACTTGGTTCTGTCAACATCGAGGTTCTGTTCTCGTTGATGCCCGCAGTTCGTGACAGTCGATTGACAGATGGAGTACGTGATGAACCGTCAGCGCTCCTGCAAAAGTTAAGTGACGGTGCAGGGGCGCAGGAGCCAAGGTCAAAGACCCAACGTTCACAGCACGAGCCCAGAGGAACGTTCTGACCCCTCTATTGATACGGTAGAGCTACCGGTACAGTCGTATTGATAGCTGGCATTGCCAAACACACGTACCGTACTGTACTAGTAGTGGGCTGGAAAGAAACAGAAGAAATAGAAGCGGAAGAAGTATCTGAAGTAATGATTACAAAATGAAATACGCGTATTGTCAATGCCAAGAGGTGGCAAGAACGTGTCCTCTGGGGCAATCGTGAAAGTGCAGCAAGCATACCGGTAGACTACTGTTGATTGCACAACGCAACACACTTGGTTGGAGCGAGTCTCCAAAATCTATCATTCTACCATGACCGTACCGTACCGTACCGTACCGTACGCTGCCACCATTCCAAGAATGCGTCGTGCAGGCCTTTTCATGAACTGGCTACGTGTGATCGTTAGTTGTTACTGTGTAGAGGAGAAGTGTGCAAGGTATTCCAGGACCAGAGCTTCCCCTTTCACTTCAAACTCAGCTCGGTTGGCCTCAGCGTATTTCAGGTACTCGGTGCTGCAAGAACCGAATATTCCGGATGCGTCAAGCTTCTTTGCCAGCGGCATCACATAGTGGTCAAAAAATCCTAGTTCGCCTTTGTACCACTTGCGATTTACGGATCAAGAACTGAGGAGAAGATTTTGATTCGATTGAGATTCGCGTTCAAGGGATACATCATGTCCCAGACCAATGGGAGATGAAGCAGAAACGAGATATAAATGATGTATGAGAGGTGGGCAGTTTGAAACAATGCGTGAACCAGGAGAGTGTTTCCGACTCGGACCCGGGCCCTTTCACGACATCTCTCTAAGTTCGTGCATCGTACTGTTGCGAGAAGTCTACAGAATGGTCCCTTTTTGAATCAGTGCTGGTTTCTTTCTGTACAATGATTCAATCATACTCGTTCAAGGGGTGTTGGTTCGAGTCTTGGACTCTAGGTGCTTTACCATACTAGCTAGTGGAGATGTGGTTGTTGTTAGTGGTGTTGGGATGCCAGTGGTGTTGCTTCTACTGCCTGGCTTTCTCTGATAGATAGTGCATCAATAGCAGCCAGCCATGGCATCCTACAGGGGACAGACGTTGATCTGTATGGGATATACAGGTAAAGAGATTTGCTGGCTCGATGAATCAATATCGAGTTATAGAGTAGTCCCCGTCAAAGGCGGAAACTCCCCCGTCCCACCCGAGTTTGAGCCACGAGGCGGCCAAAGCTGCAACGCTCCAAACAGCCAACGTGCAGATTGCAACCAAGCAAGCATCGTGCCCCCAACAGAGCCTAGAACTTCATATCTTACCGTGCATTTTCATGCTGAAGTTTGTACGGCTTATTGATGTCCTCTTCCGCTTCGTATATGTTGGCTTTAAACCGACGCCGACGCCGTTGCATCGAGGTTTCCAAGTTCGTACTTGCGACGGCGTCAACGTGAGCCCGAAAGATGGATGATCGATACCAGTTTTGTATCCATTCCTTCAGAGTCTCGCGCAATGACAGCTTTCCCATCAGGTATGGATTGACTCCGTCGTCTGTTTGATCATCCTCCTGATCCTGCTCTGTCCCTATTTGCAGTTCCTCAATCCAATATGGTTCAATACCGTCGACTGCGAGGAAGACGTCATTGATATCTTCGTCATTGATTGAGTTGGTGGCGCCTTGTGCCTTAATCGTTGTTGATGTTTGTTTTCTATAGTCGTATTCCTGGTCCTGATAGAGTTCCACTAGCTGTTCCAGAATATGACTTGAATTCACAACCACGGCTTGCACTTCAATCGGATTCTCGACAGTGATGGGTCCATCCTGACGGTTATACTGATACCCCAATGCCGTGATCTCTACATACCGAATGTTCATTCCAGTCGCCAGTCGGAAAAAGTCGGCCTTGTGGTAGCGTCGTTTGGATTTGGAACATTGCTGCCACCGTTGGAGGATCTTTTCTGTGGCATTGACCTTGATGAGTGGTATTTTGGGATCATCGCACCAACCATAGCGAAAGGAAATCTCCACGAGTGCAGGACGAAATACAGTGGCTTCCACTGGGGCCGAACACAAATGATTAGAATGAGGACATCTTTCTGGTTCGGGTAATGCTAGGTTTTGTGGTGGTTTCATAAAGATACTGTTTGTCATTTGTGCTCCATGAACGGACACAACGACACTGGCGTTGGAGAAGGCTCTGAACTGTTCTATGACTCGTTCATGTTGCTCCTGTTTCGAACCAGAAGTAGCATCACAACCAACTTGCAATAGCTGCACATCATAAAGGTCTTTCTGCTGCATTTGCTCCATCAGCAATGGAAAGGCAGGACGGCCCGTCTCAAGATCAATGGCAGTTCTGGGTGCAGGGTGACCATTCGGACAGGAGGCATCACGTTCTACAACGAGTACCAAAGGTTTATTCTGTTGTTGCTCTGGTGGTTCACTGAGATCTGAAGGTTCTTCAATGTCGCCGTCGTCGTTGTTTTTGGATCTGTAGTAATATCTCAGCAGACTGTTGGACCATACACTCTTGAACATTGCAAAGAGACTCGTTCGTTGCGGATTGTTGTCGTTATGACTGTCGACGAGACCATAGTAGTCCCTCATGTGAGCGGTCCATTGATACATTTGACGTGCCGTAGAAGTGTTGGGTTCATTCTGGAGCCAGACAGTGGAAGATCCCAGGAAAGATCCCCACTGGAATTTGAAAGTGGCACAGTTCTCCGGTGTCACTGGAAAGGGCAAGTTGCCGTCACTTCCTTTCTTATAAATGTCACTTCGCTCTGTTTCAATGGTGATCACGGGCAATCTTCCAGTAGGATGGGTATGATTGTGGTGTGGTTCTACTAGTGCAAGAGGAAACGCCCGGATCATCATTTCCAACCAGGTATGGCAGCTTGGTAGAAGTATCCGGACGACCAGGTTTTGGAGATGTTTGGGGTGCCTGTGCGACGCGTATTCTCTGGCAAACGGCAACACTCCGTACTGCATGGCATCTCGAACGATAGCCACATATCCCCACAGAACATGGAAGATATTGCATCCATCGGCTTGATTCAAGAGAAGATAAATGGTGTTGTTGCTGTCATTGGACAAGTCAAATTGGATATTTCTGACATCGCTGTAGTGGCGACAATAAAAGTTATTGTGGCTGTCGTCTTCTTCTTCAATGTCTGTGTTGGGAGACACGAGATCATCGGTATCCGTCAGCTGAAATAGGGATGCTTTGTTCTGGCCTTGTCGCACTTGCTGGAGAGGAGGGTTAAAGGAGGGTAGCCGAAGTGTGGTCATACGAATCAGCGACACCACAGCGAGAACGACTGCTGATAAAAGAGAAAATCTTAGGGATGCCCTTTTGGACGCTAGCATCAGAGGTCGATTAATTCTCCTCATCATCATCGCATTAGAGCGTGTAGTTCACTGCTGCTCATGCATCTACGAGTCTCATTTGCCCCTTGCTCATTGAAGATCGGTATGATAGATTGAAGATGGTGGAATGGAAACGGAAAAAGTGAGCAAGGTCGTTCCCCCTGCTCTCTTCTTGAAGGGTTAAGGAACTAGAGGTACGTTTCTTGATGATTGGAACCCTTTTTCCCGCGCTTCTTCGTCGTTCCAGCACGATTGAGCGAGGCGAAGGGTTTCCGGACTGCTTGTGGCTGTACTAGTATGACATCTGACAGAGCCACCGATTTTCTTTGAAACCGTTGCAATTGGTCCGCCATCATCACCGGAGTACTTGTGCCAGGTGTAATACCGTACGACTGTAACCTCCTTTGTGATCCAGCGATACTTCACATAAAACCTGAAACCTTTCAACAACAAACATTACCCATCCCAGTGTTGATACTGCTAGCTACCTATCATAGCAATCCAATGAGACGAGAAAGAGACTACCATGATGATCCTTTAGTACCAGTGGAGATTGGGGGGCGTCCACGGGCGAACCAGAACCCGTTGCGAATGCTGGAGCTTCTCATGAAGGGCTTCTGTCCCACCATCATTCAAGACCGCGTCGAAGTCCACGAAGAACCCTTGAGTAGCACTGCACCAATGCGTTCTAATGCCATGGGAAATAAGACTGCCATGGATAACACTACTACGACGGGGGACGATACTTCGGCAGAACCAACCAATGAGCCTGAGGAATTGGTGCATCCTGAGGAACAGCTCCATCACCCATACTTTGAAATCGCGGAACGACCACCATCGGATGTGATTGGGATATCCAAGGCAATCTGGGAGGGGTTCTGCCACCACAACGAGAAACAGCAATCCACACAGCATCGAGGGTTCTGTGCTGTTTTGACGGAACAGTACTGTCACTACCACAACGATGAAGCACCTCCGGATGGAGAAGAATGTTCTCTGGATTCCAGCAGTGAAGACGCCACTGTCGACTTGTCGCCACAATGCCATCCACTTGTTACCCGTGAGTTTAGCCTGGAATACCACTACCAAGGAGACGAAGATCCCCCATTCTTGGTGATGGGAAGTGATCACAGTGAAAGTGATTGGGAAGATGAGGAGGAAGAAGACATGCCCATTGCCGAGTATTATCACAGCCACAAACGGCGAAATCGGGCCTTGCAAGTGTTGATTTCCACACTCCTGTTTGTCGCCATTACCTTTGCACTGCTGCAAACGCTGGACACTGGACACGACAAAAACTTTCATTTTGCTGTCCAGCGAAAGGAGCCGCACACAACTACTAGTTCGGGATTGGGCTTTGCGGAGAGTATTAGGGTTTCCAAACGCGGAGAGGCTACACAAACGAGCTTGGTATGGTTGGTGCCATCCGCACACTAAAGAGATCTGAGCTATGATTACGACAAATTCTTTCATCCGAGAGTTGTACGGTAGGGTTGTATGCAGCATTGAAGCAGAGGTGCCGCACAGTACTCCATTGTTTTTTTAAAAGGCCTATCTATCCATCCATCCAACATCGCTAGCTAGAGGGTATGACATAAATTTCCTTGTTCTCCCTATCCTTGCCATAACACGACTTCCTTCCCACGCCTCAACTGATTAGCAGATAGCATTACTAACAAAGCAAACAACCGAGTTTGAAAGTATAAGGCTTCAAGTCCTGTGTTTGTTCTTCTAGCTGGTTGGTGATAGTGTTTGAAACCTTTCCTACAGTGATGCAGCCACGGGTACCGGAACCCTCACAGTATAGTAGGTACCTGCCACCAAAACTCAGTTCTCATACTCTCAAATGATGTTCTTCATGCAGACCCGAATCTCTATTGCCCTTATCAAAGCTACCCATTTATGTCTCCTTGGATCCCGCAAAGCCAAACCCTTTGGCCCCTGTAATGGTCCTCAATTTCTCGCCCCTGATCCCACGGAACCTAGTCCTGAATTCGACTCTTCTTTGATTAAGCCTGGCCCCGGCTGGCTTCTGTAGATAATCTACTAATCTACCTACTCTAAACCCCCGTTGTCTACCTTGTACCATACGGCACTCAGCAGTCAGCCCAGCATGAACTCCCGCACTGCTAAAGTTCGATGAATGGAGCGTGGGCATCTGCCGTGGAAGACATTCTTGGCAGCAGGTGATTAAGTCAGCGGGAGCTGCGATACCTCGGCAGAAAGACAGATAGAAGAAGGATGACATGTTTGAGATTGCACCCTTCTTTCAAGGTAGCCCTGGCGACAACACCCGACTTCGTCATGTGTTGCCGCCCGGTATCATTCCCTCATTATAACCTTCGTTTTTAGTTAAGCTAGCCCTGGCGACAACACCCGACTTCGTCGAGTGTTGCCGCCCACTATCATTCCCTCATTGTAACATTCTGTTTTATATTAAGCTAGCCTTGGTGTTGCCACGGGCTAACCCATAATTTACAGCTATCATTCGATGATGTAACTCTAGATTTACAAGACCTGCTGGCTTATTGTGTGCAATACACGGCTCTTAGCCTTATTCGAGACTCGATCCTAGATAGGGTTTGAGTTCGACTCATGACTGAGTCTTTCGTGAATAGTCATTGAGAAGACAGGGTCTCATGACCGCTAGTCATACTAGGTCGAGTGGTGAAACATCGCGCTAGAGTATTTAGCTGGCGTGGAGAGATTCCACGCTACGTAGATAAATGCTAGACGAATCTTCCACCGCGTTCCGTTTTTTGGATCGTGGAGTGAGTAGGATTGCTACCGCACCTACTCTATCACACTCTACACGTCTCCCGCGGGAGTTCAGATCTACGATCCTTTGATTGCGGATCTCTCTCGTTGATTAGTTTTCATAGCTTTCTAATCCTCTCATAACTTCATTCTCTCAAACTCAAAACACTCGAAAGATCTTTACACTAGATTTTAGCGTAGTGCATTTTTTAACAAACACAATAGATCCTCAGCTACCCTCAACCTAATTCCTCACCATGAAGATGCCAAAGACTCGCATACACCAGCTTCAGTCACAAGCTGCGTGACAAACCATCCATTCCTCTCATCGACTCGATATGAATGCGAAATCGACGATTCTCGCTCTATCACCTACAAACTCGCACTATTCAGCAGATGCTAAAGCGCCAGCCAAGACACCTTCAAGGTCAAATAATCAATGGACTGAGACTCACGTCAGACCATCAAGTGGGCTGGACGGATGGAGAAAGGCTCGTTCGTGGCCCGCCATTGCTACGCCTGACGACAAACACAACCTCCTCAGGAGATGACTTCTAGCTCTGCAAAGAGCAGTTACGAATCTACGTGTGCAGGCCACCGTGAAATACGTTGGATGCCTTGCGCCAGATTGCAGTCAACGCATCCTCCACGCGACATACGTCGGCGGTGAAGACGAAGCCACTTTCCTAGCACGTTTCCAGGCGCCTGGAACGGAGCAGCTCAGCTGCTTTGGAACGACGCTGGCATTACGTTTGGCATAATGCCTGTATCGAAGCGGTCTGTACCATACAAGGCTTTTGAAAAGCAGAAACGCTTCATGCGCCGCAAGATGCGAAGCCTGCTGATATGTCTACTCGGGCTTATGTCAAACACACTCAGTCGGATGAAAGACGATGAACTTCCTCGTCTTACCACCTTTTGGACCCAACACAAACGTTGAACCATGACGAAATCATTGATCATTGTGTTTCATGGAATTCCACGCTCGGTGATGAAGAAGATGGACGAACAGACTACGATCCTTTCTCAGCTCTCTATCGGAGAAACCATTGATTCTGCGAACGATGGAATCTCCGAAGACTTTGACAAGGAGCGTGATGCCAAGCAAGCCTCTACCGAAGAAGAACAACAGCAAGAAAGAACAAGTCTACGTCGCAACAACGACCACTCTTCCAAAGAACGTAGAGAAAATGGTGGACTACACGATTCCAGCACTCACACCACTGCTGACTGCGATGACTTTGAAGAAGCTTAAGGCCAAGTCTCAGTCCCCGTCTGACATCGATAACAAAGCCAACGTACAACAAGAACAGACTTGTCAACGCAAGTCCGACGACGCCAAAAGCCTACACCAAGAAGAAACTCTCTGCCCTCATGAAGAAAGGTTTCCAACGCCGCGGTCAATGCTGATCGCAAGAAGAAAAGCGAATGCAACCATGTCGCCAAGCGCAGTCAGACAACTCAGCGACGATGGACGACTCCTCTGTTTGATCCTATGATGCGAGTAAAGAAAAGCTGGTGCCTGTTAGACAAGGCGGCTTCCGAATTCGACTTCAATCATGTCGATGGAGAGATCTCCGTCTGAGGATTAGCGCAAGTGCCAGTATGATGATTTAACGGAACATGTTCCGATTCTCATACCTAAGTGATGAAGATATCTCACTAAATAGTAAACAAGATTTGTTTGCAACTAACGAAGTCTACGCAAAATTAGATAATTGCCTAGTAAATGCTCAACTAGACACTGACGATCTGTTCAGCATCGTTAACTTCGCCCATGGCCAATCAACTCATCAACGTTGCAAACAAGAGACCTCAAAACTAACGTCTTATGTTAGATTTAACATACGAGAGAAAGGGAAACAAAACCCGTTACACTCTGTTGCTTCTGGATACAGAGCATCCGGCACTTTATTGCTCAAACTCTGCTGAAGAGTTTACTCATGAAGAATCATGGGGGCGTCCAAACATTAAGAATGCCTCTTAAAAGAATTGAACCCCGCACGAAGTGTAAGGGCACACTCGCGTGATTTCCTGAGTTCCACGATGAAGAATTATCAGTGGAATATCACGTCACCAAGAACTTGGGGCGCAAGACATATCATAGGTCAAGAATCTCTCTTCGACTAAGAAACAAGTTGATTTCACTACATTCATTGGGGTGGAACAACACATTTTTCCCGGCGAAAGATTGCAATACCAATAGAAAGGAGAACTTCTTCATTCCCGATCTTGCAGCTGTCCGCACAATGCAGATAGTCTCAAGAAGATTCTTTGATACACATACGAACATTGGCTTAGTGCCAAGTCGAAATCCGTTAAACAAGGGAGAGCAAGAACTGACTCATACCTTTTCAACCAATTGCTTCGACCCAGCGAGGATACTTTGGGAGAGTTCAATTGGACGACTACAAGTAGAACTTCGTCCCGACGTAAATCCAATTTAGGGCTCACCCTACTCACGGGTCCCATCCAACACTTTTAAGAAGGAGGTTGAACGTCTCTGCGAAACAGGGGCACTCAAGAAAGTGAATCGTTCCAAGGGGACTGGCGCACAAACTTTTATCATTCCAAGAAAGAGGGATCTGCACATTCATTCGGATTTTCGGAACCGAACAAACGAATCAAGCGGAACCTTATCCTATCCCAAAAATACGAGGACATGCTACCTTGAACCCAGATGGATTAAAGTGCGTCTACCAGTCTAGACTTGAACACTGGAAAATATCCACATCGAGCTGTCACCTTACTCGAACAACTATGCCATTGCACTCCAGCAGGAAGCACGAGTAACAGAGGTTGCCAAATGGCCTATGTGATTAGTCCCGACATCTTCCAAACGGAAATGAAAGCAACGCATGCATGACTTAGAAAATGTACGTTGCTACATGTGATGATCATACTCATCCTGACGAACGTCTCTCGCAGATCGCGTTGAACAGTGGATGACCTTTCCCCAAAGACTCCAAGAAGTCGGGATTGAAATCAACACTACCAAGGCTTCCTCGTAGGAAAACTGGAGTATCTAGACAATGTGGACTTCTCGAGAAAGAGCCAACTCTTAACTAAACAGATAACAGATGCGATCCAGAGATCGCTCCTCCTACGAACAAAAGGAACTTCGTGGATTCATGGACCAATGAACTACACAGGGCTGCTCCAAGACAGGCAGATGAGAGTAACCATCAGTCTAAACAGACGTGGGTTAACACAGTATCCATGACCGGTTGTCATGGACAAGAAGTGAACGTCAGAGGTGAGAAGACTCTCCGGGATGAACGATGGACTTCGTCGCAATCTCACAGCGCGTTCAATCGTGACAAGCTTACACCACATCCGTTTCAAGCAAACGGGAAATACATAAACGTCGCCAAACGACTTATCCAGAAAACACCGATAAGGAGACCACGGCACGTGTCACTCATCAACACCATGTCAACGACACTATGATTCATCAGTATCAAAACCGTTAATCGTCAGCCAAAGCACATAGGTCCTTACCACACAGATCGAGTCAATAAAAATGGCAATGTACGGCTCAGACATACTAACGCCAGTAGAGGCACAGTCTACAACTTGAAAAGTTTTACACCATACAAGCTATCCCTTTAGGATTGCCATCGTGCGCACATGTCTACATCCAATCCACGGAGAGTGCCCCACTTTATTTCATATGTTCTCCTTGTCGAACTGATGTCGTGCCTTCCATGACCCTTTTCAGGGGGCAAATGCAATAAACGGCTCTTAGCCTTATCGCCGACCGATCCTAAATAGGTTGGTTCGACTCATGACTGGTTCTTTCGTGAATAGTCACTTAGACAGGGTTCTCATGACCGATAGTCATAATAGGTCGATGGTGAAAAATCAGCGCTAGAGTTAGCCTGCGTGGAGTACTTCCCCGCTACGAGATAAATGCTAGACGAATCTTCCACGCGTTCCTTTTTTGGATCGAGGAGTGAGTAGGATTACTAACGCAAACTACTCTATCAAACTCTACAGTCTTGCCCGGGGGTTCAGATCTACCATCCTTTGATTGTGGATCTCTCTCGTTGATTATTTTTAATAGCTTTCTAATACTCTCATTCTTTTCTCTCAAACTCAAAAAACACGAAAGATCTTTACACTAGCTTACGTAGATGTGTTTTTGCTACTGCACTAACCTAAATTCATTGATTATTCCTACCATCTCTCTCTTTTC